AATCCTGGACTATGCTTTGTTCTCTTCCAAGCTGATCTGCATTTTCAGCCTGTAATTAGTGTAGTCACTTTATTCCTCCAGAGCAAATGGTGATGAGTGGACTCAGCTGCCTCCAAATCCCACCTACTCATCCTGGGAACATGTTCTCCCATCCCTCCTTCCCTCTGCACCTCGAAACTCTGGTACTTACCCATGGAGGTATCAGTAACATCAAATGAAATGCAGTGAAGATGGACCAGAAACACATGGGACATTGATACCTAGAAACTGGAGACTGTTGAGCTCAGAGACCACAGACTGTGCAAAGACATGAACACCACGTCCCTGGTGCATAGCCCAAGGGAGGAATCCACTGGACAGAGCATTCCAAAGGCATTTCTAACCAGAGATTCTGTTGCAGAGTTAAATCAGAGCTTATTGATTAAGAAAGCCAAATTCATTTGTCCCAGCTCAGTGGTACAGAGGGGAAGGGAGGCAAGGCAAGGCTAGATGAGCACATGGAGATGAGCAGGTGGCCATGGCCCCCTCATGCTGAGCACTGAACTAGCTGCTGTTTTCCCCCTGCCATCTGCTAAACCTCTCAGTGTAACTCATCCCCGTTTCCTGGCCCTAGCTGCTCCCTCTGAGCGAGGGGGCAAGGGGGGAGCTGCAATTTCACTTTGCTGCTGGCTTGTTCCTGGCAGGGATACAAAGAGCTGCAGGTCTGAAGAGCAGAAGCCCCAGCACATCATCTCAGAGGGGACAGGAGCTCAGACAAGACAGGAAACAGCACTAAACTTCAGGCAGCACCTCCTCCTCCTCCTCCTATCCCTGTGGACCAGAGAAAGGCATCCAGCAGAGCTTGCATGCACAGCTGCCTGGAAACTGGTGGCTCCAGAAGAAAAGGAAAAGCCACTTTGCTTTCCACTGTGAAACTCATTTAGCTACAAGCCCCAGCCCAGCCAGGCTGTGCAGATGAGCCAGGCAGACCCAGCACAGTCGTAAGGCATCAATACACAGCTATGATTGTGTTGCCACCAACCAGCCCCACAGAGCTTCCCTGGTGGGAAAACCCAAGTTCTCCAGTTGCTTCCCAGAACTTTCCTACTGAAGACAAAAGTTCCTATGTGGCTGAGGTCTCCCTTAAAGCTCTGAGCCAACAAGACACAGTGAGCTCAGTTCAGTGTCCTTCAAGAACCTAAAATGCAATGCTGAAAGGGAAATTTGACACATGGACAATTCTTAGCACCAATGGATAATCCATGCCTCATATTTTTTAGGAGAAGAGAGTCAGGTTTCTCAAGCATCTTCTCTAGGGTAACAGCCAGCATCCCTCTGGATCCAGTGATAGGAAGGAGTGAGCTGGGAAGCACAAGGGCAGCAAGGGCAAAGCAAACAGCTTGGGAGATAAGTTGAGAACAAACACGGTAAGACTTTTCTTCACCAAGCTGTCAAGGACCTCTTAAACTACTTCCTGCAGGATGCTGAGGATACTGAAGGTCTTCATGGACTTACAGGGTCATCACTCAGGCAAGAAATGTTAATTAAAAGTCTAATTCTAAAGGAGAGTTCTTACCAGCTTGCTTGGCTTTAAACTCTTCCCTAAGGCACTCAGGTTCGGTGGCTGCTAGGCCAGGCAGACCCTGAGCTGCAGGGAGGTGGCCCTGAGGTTGCCATGAAGAAGAACCCAACCTTGCAGTGGGACTTACAGGAGGAAGGTGCCCCAACATGTAGCTCAGGGACCTCAGCACTCCATCCCTGCTGCCTCACAGCTCATGGAATAGGTGAAGAACATTGAAACACCAACACAAGGAAAACAACTCCAGCTGCTGAGAAACCACACAGGAGCCACGTCAAGATGAGATGGATCTGAGGTCAGCATTCCCAGAAATCATCTTCTGCATAAAAAAAACCCCAACCCCTCTCTTGTAAAATAATCCTTTTGTAATACAATAATGTCACCAAAATAGTTGTCAGGAGGTAGTTCAGCCTCTAAGCATTCAGCAAGTTTGGAGATGTTAGCAACATTTCTGGCTGAGAGCTGAGGTACAACAGAGCCCTTGTCTGGGAGAAATGATGTTTAGCAAATCCTCCAGCAAGCACTGAATGGAGCTCCTGTCCTACACTCCAGTGCCAGTGCTGCCCCTGTATTTAACTGCTGGAGAGTTGGCCGAGCTGAAGCCTCCAAAACCTTCCCTGTTAGCATGGAAAACCAAGTTCTCTGACCATGCAACTGGCACAAAGGGTATTTCTGCAGAGTGGATTCAACCCATGTGACATCTATCATCTATGAATGACCCTTCTCAGCAGAAAGGGAAGGAGACCACTATTTTGGAGCTAAGCTCCAGGCTGAGCTCCTGGTGGATGTGCACACAGGCATCAGGAGAACTGCAAAGCAAACACTTTGGAATACAAGCTGTAATTTGTCTGGATAGCAGGACATGACCCAAAAGCCACAAGCCAGCAAGGATCCTTATCCAAACCAACATCCATCAACGCACGGAGCTCTAGTCGACCAGAAAAGCTCCTGGAATTGTTTCCTAGATGGGGCAGCCACTCCATCCTGGAGTGAGGACCTGAATCTCCCTCTTATCTATGAAATCCCCTGGCACCTGAACCAGGATTTCATCCCCAAACACTACACAAGGTTGACAAGGAAAACTTTTGCTCCTGGCACAGCTCAGCTATGAGAAAAGGTAAGCACACTAAAAGCTTCAGGAAAGCAGGAAGAGGAATTATTTGCTTCTGGAAGACATTAGCTACGAGTTTGTATTTCCAATTTACGGAAACAAGGGAAAGGAGTAGATTTACTCCCTGTTTTAATGATGGAAACACATTTCTGCCCAGCATCCTCCTCTGGTGCTTTGGATCAAACACAAATCTTTGTCCCACAATGGCTACAGCACCATGGCCCTAAGCAGGAGATTTGGATTGGAAGGGACATTAAAGATCATGTAGTTCATGTAGTTCTAACCTCCCTGCCATGAGCAGGGGCACCTTCCACTAGCCCAGGTTGCTCCAAGCCCCATCCAACCTGGCCTCCCAGGGATGGAGCAGCCACAGCTTCCCTGGGCAACCTGTGCCAGTGTCTCAGCACCCTCACAGGGAAGAGTTTCCTCCTAATAGCCAATCTAACCCTCTTCTCTGTCAGTTGAAGCCATTCCTCCTTGTCTTGTCCCTCCAGGCCCCTGGAAATAGTCTCTCTCCTTCTTTCTTGTGGGCTCCATTCAGGCACTGGAAGACCACAATTAGGTGTCCCCAAAGCTTCTCTTCTCCAGGCTGAACAATCCCAACTCTCTCGGCCTTTTCTCATAGGAAAAGCAACTCATGGGAGTTACTCCATCCCTCTAACCACCATGGGCTGCCTAGGGAGGTAGTGGATTCACAATCCCTGGAGGTTTTCAAGATGAGACTGGATGTGGCACTTAGTGCCATGGTCTAGTAACCACGGTAGGATTGGACTCAATGATCATTGAGGTCTCTTCCAACCCAGTTGATTCTATGATTCTATGTTGATGCCCTTCCCCCTAGGAGAGACAAATTGGCCCAGTCAGATCACATCAGGCCTGAACCTCATTTCATCCCAGTTCTCCCTTCCCTGATCGATTGGGACTGGTGTCTACCTGGAGTCCTTGTCAGCCTGGATGCAGGAACCAATCCATTACTGCTCATGCCAGTGCCACCCACACCTAACTGCACAGCACTGGAGTTTCCAGGGCTTACTGACAGAGCCAGTGAGGCTGCTGCAGGCACAGCCTTATTAGCAGCACATGCTTTCCTCATCTGCTCAGCTCCCAGCTCATTGTGAGGCACCCTCCAGCCCTCAGGGCACCAACAGCCCTTGGCTGCTTCAGCTGGGACCTGTGTTCTGCCACCTCCTGCTCCCTCCAGTGATGCTTTCCCTGGCAGGCAGGAGCAGGGTGACTCCCTCTGCTCTTGGTACTCCACCCCAGCAAAGAAAACAGTCCCAGCAGCAGAACTGAATTGCCTTTGAAATGCCTCAAAATCCTCTCCCTGCAGCCAAGGGTTGTTTGGCAGCAATGACAGGAAGGTGAGTCGGGGGGTGAGCTAAGAAGGTGCCACACATAGAGAAAGGAAGGAAGAAAATAGCTTTTAAAGGCTGTGCTTGTGTCCCCACTGGGGGAAAAAAAGGGTTTATAAGCCAAAAGGTTCAGAACAACAACTCTAAGTGTCTTATGCATGCTCAATATCAAAAAGAAAGCAATGGAAGATGCTTTCAATTGAAGAGGTTTGGCATGGCCAGGGGTAACTCCTATCATAGAACCATCAAGGTTGGAGGACACCTCTAAGATCATCAAGTCCAACCATTAATTAACCTGTTACTGCTGCAACCCTCAAACCCTAAACCATATCCTCCAGCACCAGATCCAGATATCTCTTAAACACCTCCAGAGATGGTGACTCCACTGTGGGCAATGATTAAATAACCACATAGTAATATTAATACCTTATTAGTAACTAATAATTGCTCAGTACTTAGGGTCTTGCTTCACTCCAGAGCTGACCTGGGCTCCTGCATGTGGCACAGCTGAAATGATAAGAGGTAGCTGAATGCCTTGACTCAGCAGTGGCTCTGTGCCCAGCCATCCAGCCTCCCCCAGCCTGATCCCAGAAACTCTCTGCTGTGGTTAAAAACAGCTTTAAACTGAAAAAGGATGGATGGGAGGTAAAGGGGGTGCACACAGCAACTTCCCACCTCAGCAGCTGAGCATTCTGCTGCTGGGCAGACCTGCTGAGATATGTGGGGAGCAGGAATTTGATGACTTGTCTTCTTTGAAACTCTAGGGCTTCCATCCAACCCTGAGGAGAAAAATCCCACATCCCCCCAGATTGCTGACTTTCCACAGTTTTCTTTTTCCATAACCATTTCTCTTCTCCTTCCTTCCCCACCCACTGCTCAGTGGAGTTACTTTTTCCCAAGTTCCTCTGCATTCAGCCTCACTCTGACCCTATGAGGTAGAAGCAGTTAAGTTATCCCAGTCCAGAGCTTGCTGGACTGGGATCCACATCACAAAAGCCACTAGTTGTCACTGCCAGTGGAAACACTGCAGCTTCCTTCTGCTCTCCTGTTTGAAGTGGTCTCTCTGGGCAGGACTACACAGGAAAGTTGGGGATGAGGAAGGAGGAAATGGAGGAAGGGTTTTACCTCCCTCTTCCACCCACTGACTGCTGGACACTTCTGTCTCAGCTCTGCTCTCGGCTGTGATGTTCTGCCCAACTGGAAGTGATGGTGGAAGGAGGCACAAAGTCAGAATTTGATCCTTTCCCTGGCTGGACCCTTTCCCTGGCCAGGCTGGAGCTTGTAGAGCAGGTGAGAGGAGGGCTGAGGGACCCAGCTCATAGGGATGGTAGCCAACAGCTCCCAACAGCAGCACAGGGACACTGCGGGGAAGTAGGAGGAGAGCCCTGGCTCAGACCAGGAAAGCAAACACGACAGGGGCCCGGAGAGAGATTCACAGACTGTCCACCCTCCTCTTTCCATTCCCAAGATCCAAGGACTCAATTCACCCTTTGCAGTTAAACTAGAGCTCCAAAGCCTGCAGCCAGCTGTGGCTCCTGGAAAGGGCTGGGAGGATGTATTAGGCAGATCTTCACCTGCAGTCAAGGCAAAACAAGCAGAGGGTGGGTGCAACAGCACTCAAAGGCATGTTCTCTTCCATGCCACCAGCTGCCACTCCTATGGGCATGTTGTGCCCAGAGTTGTCTGTGGGGAAGCCAAGGGAAGGGACAGGCAGCAGGAAGGTTCCCAGCCATGGAGTCCTGCGAGAGGCTGCTTGGCTTGGCATGGAGCATGCTGACCAGTCCTTTTTCCCTCCCTCATTCCCACCTTTCAGCCACCCAGCATAAAAAGCTGTCTTTTCCTTTCTCCCTCACCCCCTGCTCTGTTCATGGCTTGGCTCCCTTTCAAATTCCAGGAGCAAAGCATTTATCTGCTGGCTGAAGGATGACATCCAGCCAAGCCCCAGACACACCATCACGGCTGATCCAGCCTCGCCGTCTATCACAGCTCCGGAGTGGGAAGCTGGCAGCATTCCAAGGCTGGGGAATGGGCTCCCACCAATCTCTCCAGAGGAGTGACTCAAGGACTTTTATTAATTAGCAGTTGAAATTGTAGCTAATAAATACTCCTCTGGCATTCAGAATGGGAAGGGAAATACAACAGAGATGGCCTTGAGAAGCTATGGTCATTTTCTGCTGGAGGCAAAGGGACAAGAGTCACATGCTAAGTCCTACTGTGTGCTGGAAGCTTGTCTCTCCTCCCTGGAGAGGAGCAGGCATGGGAGGCAGCATGTCCTCCCTGGAGAGCAGCAGGACCATCACTAGATTCAGTGGTGCATCATCCACCCAGCAGTGCAGTGGCCAAACACTCACATACAGCAATTCTGCACCCAGGAGCTGCCAGAGGACACTGCAGGAGTGTCCCCATTGACACTGTCCCTGAGGATGGACCCCACAACGGAAGCATGTGCTTGGGATTAAGCTTTGGGCTGGTGCATCCACTACCCTTGTGTCTCAGACCCAAACCATGGCACTGATTGCTGCAGAGGGTTGGGAGCTACAGCTTCAAACACAGCAGGGTGCAGAGCTCAGCAGGGGCTGCCACACAGCACTCAAAGGTCTCCCTCCACATCTGAATGTTCTGGCCACAGTCCCCATCCTACCTGTCTTCTGTCTCAGTCTACAAGACCAAACAGAGGTGACAAAGTGGGTTCAAGACCGAAGCTACCCTACCATCCACCATGGATGAAGGTGCCTCAGCTGCAGGCAGGGTCAAGAGCTGACTCCTGTCACAAAGCAGCTCACCACCCTCAGCCAAGGCTCAAAAACTCAATTCTTCACATCACAAAACAGCCCCAGGGGCTGCTAATCCTCCCTCCAATGTCCTTGCAATCTCATCTTCTCCTCCTGTCTCTCACTTGTCCCTGAGCTGATGCCTTCCCTGAGGGATGAGCAATGGGGCAGCAGGTTAAGTGGTGAGCAATAGCTGGGCAGGAGGGATGAGAGCATCAGCTGACAGTAAGCAATTAGTTAATGGGTTCCAGGGCCCTCAGACCAATCTCATCAGTGCCCACGAGCTGCAGGAGGAATGATGACAGCCCAAGTGCATAGAAACAGGAGCCAAAGGAGGAAAGCAGAGATGGGGGCAGGGAGAATTAAGAGGGAATGATAGCACCAAAAACCCAGGGAGAAGATGTAGTCCACACAAGGATGATGCCTAGGTGGAGATCTGACAAGCTCAGCTGCTGCTCAGAGGAGAAAAACAAACCCCCTTTATCCACCTCCACACCCTTACAATGCAGAATGATGTCAAATCAATTTCCTGCCTTTCCTCTCCCAATTAATCAAGGCTCCTCCATTGCTCAAGCTCTGGTGGAGCTGTGCACTGTGTCACAATAGGGAGAGCAGCAGAGCAGGGGCTGGAGGCAGCTGCTCAGATTTATGCTGCTTGTGATTAGGAAGGGATGGATGGCTCCTGGCCAAAGCAGCTCATAGTCACAAGACTTATAACCACACAGAGTTGTGTAAGGCACGTAAAATTCCCTGCAAACATTCCTGGGTTTGCATGGAAAGGCTCTGGAGTGTTGTTATAGATGAGGCTCATGGATACGGCTATGGGAAAGAACCTTTGCACGAGGGGACTGGTTGTTAGGAACCATGGGAAATGAGGCTTTCAGACTGACCATGTTTCTGAGATTGCTATTTGCAAGTAGAAAGTGGCTCAGGAGGAAACCAACACTACTTGGGGTCACAGGGAAGTGTTTCCACTTCCCCACTGGAGAAGGCTACAAAAAGAGTTGGCCGACTCGGCAGAGGTGTCCACCTTGAGCTGCACAGCCCTTGCTCCCTCTCCAACTGAGCCTCCAAATCCTAGACCTGTGACTTGTGGGGGATGAACATCAGCCTCATAGATAACAGCAAGTCCAAGGCAGTTTGTGTTTCAGTGCCACTCCAGCTGTCTAGTCACCCAACAACTTACTCTTTGGGGGGTGTCAAGTCATCAGGTCTCGTCTCAAAGAACTGGAGAACCTCCTCACACTGGGAGATGTAGGGAGGCAACTGGATCAGAGCCTGGGGAGAAACAGAGACACTGGTGATGGAAAGCATTGAGACTGCAAGGAGCTGAGTGAGGACATGCCCCTGGTCATGGCACCCAGGTGGTTCCCGGCACACAGGAGCACAGAGCCAGGCTGGGGAGAGCTACAGCAAACACACACCAGAGTGGGAGAAGACCCAGAGAGCCCCAGATACCTCCACCACATCACCCCAGCAACACCTCAAGACTAAAGGAGACTTCCCAGGCCCTGCTTAGCCCAGCTCCAGCCTCTTGGACAGATGTTCCCTCGCACGGTAGGAGCCACAGGGACATCCATCCAGCATCTTGGCTATGGCATGACTCAGTTTCCCAGCCATGATGTGGGTATGGAGTTTTCATCCTTGGGCCAGGCTGGGCAGTTTGCACTTGGCAGACTCTTTGGAAGGAACTGCAGGAGTAAGGACAATGAGAAATGGGGAGAAATTGAAGAGGGAAATTTAGATTAGATATCAGGAAGAAGTTTTCCCTGTGGGGGTGGTGAGACACTGGCACAGGTTGCCCAGGGAGGCTGTGGCTGCCCCAACCCTGGCAGTGTTCAAGGCCAGCTTAGCTAAAGCCTTGAGCAACCTGCTCTGGTGGGAGGTGTCCTGCCCAGGGCAGGGGGTTGGGGCTGGATCATCTCTAAGCTCCATCCCAACCCCTTAACTGTGAAACTATGACTGTGAGACCCACCAGCCCTGCCCAGTACAAAAAATGCTCTGCTGGGCAACAGCAGCTTGGGAAGAGGCATGGAGAGAAGCAACAGGAGGCAAAGCCCAATGCAATTGAAGAAGGGACTGGCTGAAAGCAGGGAGCAGTGCTGCAGCCTGTCCTGGTTTCCCCAACGTGCTGTGAAATTCCTCCTCTCCCTTTGCTGTCACAGCAGTCTCGTGACAGCAACCCAAACCTCCACTCATTGCTGTACTGGAGACAAAGCCACATCTGCAAAGCCCTGGGGTTACCACACAGATCAGATGTGGTTCCATACTGACCTAACTGCTGGGCCCCAGAAGCCCTTCCAGCCATGCAGCAGACAGTCCTTCACTGCCAGCACAGCAGACAGGCAGACCACTAATCATGGGCCAGCTGGGAACAAGATCATGTGAGAGACAGCAGAGACTAAACTACTCCCTCCATGGCTTCTGGGGCCAGGGAAAGGCTATTCCAAGAGCAAGTTTTGCATGGATGCCATTCCCATGTGGTACCAGTCCCCAGTTCCAGCATCCCATGATCTAGGCAATGTTCCCCATGCCAAAACACTCCAATTTTGTGGCCTGGAGAAGATTCCATGTTCTCTGACAGCATGGGATGGTCACAGAATACACCCTGAGCTGGAAGAATGAAAGACAAGACCCACAGCTTGTTACTCAGGACATTTTGAAGGAAGCCCACCTAGAGCTGTCTTTGCTGGTACAGAAGTGGCTGAGTCAAGCAGGTCACCCTGCACTCCAGCTGGCCATGGTCTACAGGTCCTGTGGCCACCAAATCAGAAACAGTGGCACGAACAGCATGATGTGTCTCTCACCTCTGGCTCTGCCACCCAAAGGAGTGGAGAAGACCATCAGAACACAGCTTCAGCCCATGCTGGTGGAGCCACAGCAAGTCACCTTACCCATCCTGCTGCCTGCAAGCCTGAGGAGCAAAACCGTTTCCCAAAGGCACAGAAGCTTTGGTACATTGAAATCCATTTTCCAGGGAGTGAGAGAGGATTATTTTCTAGCAGTAATGTTTTTGTGGTCCACGAAGTCTCTTTGGGGCAGAGCATCACAGTATCACAACTCCTTCATCAACCCTCCACTAACACCTTCTCCAAATCCCTTAGACAGGAGGAAGGCAGTTCCCACCCCTGGGGAAAACCAACAGAGGTAGAACACAAAGAGAATAAACCGGAGAAATGGGAAGACATTTCAGGCTCTCTCTCCCCTTCCCTGGCATCCCTATGGTTGGATGAAGTCTCATTTAGCTATGCTCCTTCTGCCTGAATCAACTCCAAATCTCACCTTTCAAGGCTCTCTACTTCCTTCACATGAGATGCCAATAAAGCAAAAACCTTCTTACAAAGGAACTTGTTCACAACACATTCAGAGTCATTTGAGTTGGAAAAGACCTCCAAGACCATCAAATCAAGTCCAACCTGTGACCCATCACCACCTTGGCAACTAGACCAGAGCACTGAGTGCCACATCCAATCACTCCTGAACACCCCCAGGGATGGTGACTCAACCACCTCCCTGGGCAGCACATTCCAATGTTTAACAACCCTTTCCAGGAAGAAATTCCTTCTTGTGAAGATGAAACCTCAGATTCAGATTAGAATTTAGGAAAAATTGTCTCACCATTAGGGTGTTCAGGCACTGGGATATTGCCTAGGGAGGAGGTGGAGTCACCACTCCAGAGGTTTTTAAGAGGCATCTGGATCTGGCACTGGAGGATATGGTTTAGGGTTTGGGGGTCACAGCAGTGACAGGTTAATGGTTGGACTTGATCATAGAGGTCTCCTACAACCTTGATGGTTCTATGAAACCTCAACTCTCCCTCACAAGGCTAAGCTGGAAGAGGCATTTTGTGTCTGCTCTGCACTACTACCCCCTCAAGCAGGTGCAACACCCACCTCCAACAAGACACAGCAGCAAGAGAGTGAGATGCTGCAGCTGCAACCTGCAGCATGAGGTGCCCAGCAGGGACATCTCTACTCCTGCTAACACTCCTTGTTCATTCTACATCTCTGCAGCCACCAGGAGGTCCCAAACCACCCTCAGCTCAGCTGCTTTACCGTTAAGCAGAAGCAACTGGAAGGCCAAGCAGAGCAAGCTCTGTGTTGTGGGCAATGCATTAAGGGAGGAGGAGAGTAGGAGAGCACAGCTCCCTAGAGCGGCTCAGAGAACATCAGCCATTACCTTCCGGTTGTTAAGTCAAATGGATTCATTATATCTGATGCCATTAACGTCATAATTCTGAAAGAGGCAGACGCAGCAGCTTAGCACTTAGGGACTTTTTCTTCCTCCTAATTGAATTTACAGTTGTGCGTGCCTCTGTGTCCCTGCCACATTTCAGTGACTCAGAAGGGGCTGATGGTGCCCGGATCGAGCCAAGGAGTTCACAGAGTCAAAGAATAATGAGTTTTCAGCCAGAAAGGGTTTGACAGTGCGGGATAAGCCACACTCCCCGTGTTCCCAGCACTGGAGCACTATTATGGCAATCAGGATGGAGCCTAATCAAGTCAGGCTAATCCTTGGTGGATGTCAAAAGTTTCTCCTTACCTTGCAGTACTCATCAATAGGGATCAGGCGTTTGACTGCTACATCTCGGATGTGACTCCGGCGGAACAGGATCTTCCCTGAAACAGGAGAGATGGAGAACATCAGGACAGCACAACAGCCAGAAATCTCTTTTGGATCATAGAACCACCAAAGTTGGAGGAGACGTCTAAGATCA